GCGGAGAGAAGCCCCAACTATCAATGAGTTAAAAGGACTGAGTCTTTCAGAATTTTAGATAGGATATATGCTAGACCAATCACTGATTATGTGATCCCATGTGGAGACGTTTTGCCAACCAGTGGCTTTATCAATCTAATAGAGAATAAACTGGAGAATGTGAAGAGGTAATTTGTCATCAGTCACTCATTCTTGATAGGTGTTCATTATCTCTGCATTGGTAAAACTAAAGCAGAAGCACGAGAATGGAGACTTGTATACTCTCAATAGAAGAGATGAAGCAGTTGGAGAGAGCATCACATGTGGGCGAAGCCCACTAGTGGAACTAGGTCATGACAATACATTAACCAAGCCTTAGAGTTGTAGAATTATCTGCACTAAGATTCAAAGAAGTTGCTGTGTTAAACAAGTATTAAATTAATAATATGCAAAACCATCATGCAGATGACTAAAACACATGTGAAACACTTGGAAATCTTTATCGTAGAGACGTTTTGCTGTGTGTAAAGCTTTACCCTGACTTGATAAACTTCTAAACAGAGCGAATCTTTCTCCTGATAAAAGCTTGTACTGTAACCTGTGTTTCCTTCAATACTGAGGGAAGTACGCCACTGTATTCACAATTACAAAGCAAGATATATCCCGACAACTGCACAACAGAATATAAAAATCAAACAAAAATTACTTATAAAGAAAAAAAAACATTAAACACAAAGGCATGAAAAGAAAGTTTTGAGTGAATTTACAAATCTCCACTAAATAACTTGACTATGTAAATGATCAAACTATGCAAACGAGCTAACTAAACATCAGATTGTAAATAAGCAGACTGTAAATGAGCAGTTTACGTAATCTCGCACTACCGAGAGAGAGGGGGGGGGAAGGGTGGTTTACAAACTACAGAAGTCATCCACTGACACTATGATGACCTTCAAGTACCATATGCTGAACTGCTATGTTAAATTTCCATGTAACTAGTTGTGCTCACATTAACAAAAAAACTTATACTAACTGCATAGAACATTTTGTAAATATACTTCAGGCAAAGTATTAACATCACAATGTAAACAGACTATGAAAAACTTATTAACACGAAAATATTAATTCTAATATACATTGTTAAATAAGTACACTACTACTAGTACTACCATAAACACTATGAATATATAAGTATATAAACACTGTTAATATACAACGTAAACGTGATTACAAACATTGCCACTAACAAACATTATAACTACCAACATAAACATTGCCACTAACAACACAAACATTACCACTAACACAAACATTACTTCTAACAACAAACATTACCACTAACAACACAAACATTACCACAAACAACACAAACATTACCACTAACACTAACATTGCCACTAACAACACTAACATTGCCACTAACACTAACATTACCACTAACAACACTAACATTACCACTAACACTGCCACTAACACAAACATTACCAATAATAACACAGACATTACCATAAGCAATATAAACACTACTATCACCAACAAAAAAGAACACACGCAGTTTACAACACAGGTAACTGCAAGAGACGTACACAAAAGTAGGTAGAAGCAGCTTCTACCTTGAACACACAATTAAGCTTTTTAGCTATTTCTTGAGAGACTTTTAGCTCCTTATGCTCTTCTTCAGCATAAGGAGAAAGTTCAGTTTCTCTTCGATATCGGTAATTTCTCCCTGTGGATTTTCTTTTTTTCGTTGCAATATATTTTCATTATTTTAAGTTATGAAACCATTTTTCTCTTAATATGTACATTCTTCTGGTTCTCATTCAATTGCAAATCTCATTTTTTGGCTTTCTTAGTGGAACATATTTTATATTGATCCTGTAAGCTTCTGTAATGAGCTCTTCCATGCACTGGTGTGGTGTCAGGTTGCTTAGAACGGTTTCTCAGAGGACGTCTGATAGTTTCTTGTCTGGTCCCAATCAATTCTCTGGTTGTTGAAGCTAAACTTTCCTAACAGCCCCTCACTGTGGTTAATTCCTGGGATCTCTACGCAATGCAAGTTTCTGTGCTTCTCTGTATTTGAGTGAGGTTGTGATCTGAGTATGTTCCGTTTGAGATTATTATAACCCTGATCAGTTTCTCGTTGTTCGTGAGATAAGATAAGATAAGATTTCGTTCGGATTTTTAACCCGGAGGGTTAGCCACCCAGGATAACCCAAGAAAGTCAGTGCGTCATCGAGGACTGTCTAACTTATTTCCATTGGGGTCCTTAATCTTGTCCCCCAGGATGCGACCCACATCAGTCGACTAACACCCAGGTACCTATTTGCTGCTAGGTGAACAGGACAACAGGCGGGAATCGAACCCGGGCCCTCCGTGTGTGAAGCGGGAGCTTTAGCCACCAGGCCACCGGGCCACCCCAGGCCACCGGATCAACTGTCGTAAGTTTCCGTTCCTGTGAACGCACAATCAGGCTACTATGAGCACACGCAACTGTGAACACAAACCACTGTGAACACAGCACGCAACAATGAACACACAAACAAGGTACTGTTAACATAACACAATCAACAGGCTACTGTGAACAAAAGTTATTGTAAATACACAATCAACAATGTACTGTTAACATCCAATTAAGCAACAAGGTCAGAGAGAGAGGGAGAGAGAGAGCGGTGTGAAGACCTGTACTCGTGGAGTATCCAATCGATTTAAGACAGCTAAGACCCAGTGAGGGCGGAGGTGAAGTGGGGACAGACGAAGATCTATTATCACAGAAGCTGAGGATATGACCTAGCTAAAGGGTCGTGACCTAGCTAGAGGGTCGTGACCAAGCTAGAGTCACCAAACTGGCTGTTTAGTGAAGGCTCTGAGTCAGCAGAGTCACTCAGGGGATGTGCCAGGCTGTATACGATGCGCTATCAAAAAATTCCTGGACTGACGCAGCAGAATAAATAAATAAATATGTATGTCGTGCCGAATAGGTAAAATTGGTCAATTAGCAAGAACTCATTTAAAATTAAGTCCTTTCTAAAATTTTCTCTTATACGTTTAAAGATATTTTTCATTTATGTTAATGTAAAAAAATAATAATTTTGTACCAAAAGAACCTTAGAAAACTTACCTAACCTTTTTATAATAAGCGTAATTTAATTTAGTCCAATCCAACTAAATATATTTTAGACAAGTTTACAATAATTTAATAATAAACAACTACAATGAAATATATTCTTTCGTTAGGTTCAGAATTATTTTTGCCAAGTTACTGCATACACAAATTTTGCTTGCCTTATTCGGCAAGAAGAGCGTTGCTATTTAAGCCAAAATCAATTCCGCTCACTGTTGTTCTTGCCATTGCGCATTTATTATGTATATAATTAATACATTCATGTGTGAGATTTTGGGCTGTACAAGTTTTACTTTGTCAATTTTGTTAGGAAAAATGTTCATATGCACTACCTGGACAATGTCTTCTCGATGGATCTCCAATAATTAAGAGAAGAAGTATTAGTAAAACAGACTGTTTAGAGTGGGAGTGCCAGAGGCACTAGCAGCGAGGCACTAGCAGCACTCTGCTAGCAATGAACAAGAGTGAACTGGCAAGATCACCAAGAGTTGCACACCTTCGTTCACCACTCCTGGAACCACAGGTGACCTCCACTATCACCTCCACTTCCAGACAACCACCTGACACGGTTCACCAGGTTCATCTGACAGTCCAATCCTCCATTTTGGGTGGTGCGAACCACCTCATCACTGTAAACGGAGTGAGAACCAGGAGAGTATCAGATAATGACCCCTTCCACAATCTATCGGAACAAAATGTAACGGATAGGGAAGGAGATGTGGTGTGTTCTTAAGGTAAACTGCTCAAAATCCACCACTACGTAAATGTGACCCAGCGTTGAGGGTTAGCGGAATCATCGAATCGGTTGTCCTAAGTAGATATCAATTTAAAGTTTTTAATGAAGAAATTAGATTACTTTACACGTGATAACTTGCTAGTGCTTTTCCGATCGGCTTTAAACTGTCAGCGCTAATATGTATCTGCACTTTGTATTGTTTTACATGCTGTGAGATAGAGAGGTGTGTTGATGAATGGTTCAGAGAACCGACAAGTTGATAAATTATACACATGTGCAACACTTGGGTATCATTATTGTGGTTTCGTCAGTCCAATACAAAGAAGAATGGTGAAGATTAGAAGGAGTTTGAGGTAATCAGTTCCCCATCCTGGAGTCGATGTAATCAGTCATCAACCTTGAAATGATTGTTGGACTTCACGCTGAGGGACTGATTACCTCAGAGTCCTTCTGATCTTCACCATTCTTCTTGGTATTGGACTGATGAAGCTAATGTGTGGCGAAATGTTTCCACATCCACGTTATCCGTATCTGTTCAATTTGTCACCCCTGAACGTCACGTTACTCTCACTGCCCACTAGAAAAGACTTGTCTTCAACAGAGGTGATTTTTCACGATATTAATATCATCCGTAAATGATGATACGAAACTGTGGCAAGTGTTTTTATCTGTCTGCTATGAAGATAAGAAACAGCAGAGGCACCAGGACCTTGCCTTGGGGAACTGAGCTTTATACTTTGCTAATACTGAATTTTCTCTGTTTACTAATTACTACTTTTTGTATTTTATACCTATCGTCCTCATATTATGTGCAATCACCCCTATGATTGCAAATGTCGCCTGCCTTTGTGAGGTCCGTGTATACCACATAACGTAATTCTGTGTGATTTAGTAGATGTGACAAGTATGATCTTCCTGCTTTAAATCCACGGTGGTTTGGGTTGTGCAGACTGTGCTGTTTCATAAAGTTTGTAACTTGGCGTCTCATCACTCTTTCAAAGCCTTATGATGTGTGATGTTAGGGCTACCGCACTATTGCCTCCTTTATGAGAAGGCAGAGAGTGAGAGGACAGTGAGAGGACAAAGTGAGAAGACAGAGCGCGAGAGGGCAGAATGAGAAGGCAGATAGTGCGAGATGGTAAGGCAGGAAGGGGTGGGACTGACCTGTATGGGGTGAGTTTGCGGTGCTCACGTCGCTACACTCGCCCGAGTTTCCCCCTTCCACGCTTATTACTGCAGGAGAGAGAATGTCAACACATCATTAGAGCCACATCCTCAAACAAATCACTTAACAAGGTCAAATCAGCATATCATTTAACAAGGCTATATGTCGCATCAACATACCACTTAACAAGGTCACAACATCCTCAACATATCACTCAACAATGTCACAGCATTCACAACTCATCAATAAATTAGTTCATAGGCCTGTCAATGTAAAATACGCTAAAACAAGAAAATAGTTCTTGTAAAGGTGAAGACTGAGATGAATAATGCCGTACAGTAATGAAGAAAATGAGGATGATTATGATGATAATGAGAACAATTAGAATGTCATAACATAAAAGAAATTGTCCCCTCGTTATCTATCCCCGGAAACAATGTCATCAGCAGCCGTCGTCTAGGTCTAAGGTTTCGAAAGAATATTCTGCAGTTCACTAGGGTTCTACGTAATCCTAGGGCGCCGTGGAATGTTAGGGTTCCAGATAACTTGATGGGGTTCCGTGGGGCATGTCAAGTTCAGTGAACACGTGTTGAACAGCAGTACCCTCAGTCCTCACATGAAGGATAAATGTGATGAGTGACTTTGTAAATGGTCCAAGTCGGACCGAAACGTCGTCGTAAGCTCCCCTCTCCTATGTGCGGGTTATTTGTGTATTGTTCCAGTCACGGTATTGTGCTTTTTTGTTATTTAACAAAACATTCTCCTGTGGCTTCATACAGCGTTAGTTATCGCACAGCAAAAGTAGATGAAGTTCAAACTATCGTAGAAAGTGTAATACAACCGTGTACAGAAAAGCTGGTAGAATATATGATAGCCGCAAAATTTTCCAGAAAAAATGAGTCTATATCTAATTGATGATCAAGTTTTTAAAAGCACGAATGATTTGTTGGCCTTTTTCGTGAAGCACAGTTAATAAGACGAATAAAACTACCGAGTCCATTAGGTTCCTCGCTCCAAGTGGATGATCATTAGAGTCCTCGCTCCAAGTGGATGATCATTAGGGTCCTCGCTCCAAGTGGATGATCATTAGGGTCCTCGCTCCAAGTGGATGATCATTAGGGTCCTCGCTCCAAGTGGATGATCATTAGGGTCCTCGCTCCAAGTGGATGATCATTAGGGTCCTCGCTCCAAGTGGGTGAATCCAGCGACGTTCCAAGTTCATCAACATTACTTATATTTGGTTGTAAAACTCAATAGCGATAACAACAAACTGTGGAAAAGGAAACACACCCACACCTGTGTACCCTTCAGGACGCTTATTATAGGAAACATCTCACCGGCGGTGGTTCCATCAGTCCTGAGAGAAAGCTAAAACATGGTATTGTATAGTGGAGAGTGCAGGTGAGCAGTGCTCAGGCAGGAGGTGCGTTAAGCTGCAGAAAATCTCACTTATATTTATCCAGCCTATTTTCTGCAGCCTGACGCAGCTGCTTCACCTCGCCCTCGCTACTGCTGCTCACCTGCACTCTCCACTGTAATACCATGTTGTACACCTGCACTCTCCACTATAACACCAAGTTGTACACCTGCACTCTCCATTATAACACCATGTTGTACACCTCCACTCTCCACTATAACACCATGTTGTACACCTGCACTCTCCATTATAACACCATGTTGTACACCTGCACTCTCCACTATAACACCATGTTGTACACCTGCACTCTCCACTATAACACCATGTTGTACACCTGCACTCTCCATTATAACACCATGTTGTACACCTGCACTCTCCACTATAATACCATGTTGTACACCTGCACTCTCCACTGTAATACCATGTTGTACACCTGCACTCTCCACTATAACACCATGTTGTGCACCTGCACTCTCCATTATAACACCATGTTGTACACCTGCATCTCCATTTATAACACCATGTTGTACACTTGCACTCTCCATTATAACACCATGTTGTACGCCTGCACTCTCCACTATAACACCATGTTGTACACCTCCACTCTCCACTATAACACCATGTTGTACACCTGCACTCTCCATTATAACACCATGTTGTACACCTGCACTCTCCACTATAACACCATGTTGTACACCTGCACTCTCCATTATAACACCATGTTGTACACCTGCACTCTCCACTGTAATACCATGTTGTACACCTGCACTCTCCACTATAACACCATGTTGTACACCTGCACTCTCCACTATAACACCATGTTGTACACCTGCACTCTCCATTATAACACCATGTTGTACACCTGCACTCTCCACTATAACACCATGTTGTACACCTGCACTCTCCATTATAACACCATGTTGTACACCTGCACTCTCCACTATAACACCATGTTGTACACCTGCACTCTCCACTGTAATACCATGTTGTACACCTGCACTCTCCACTATAACACCATGTTGTGCACCTGCACTCTCCATTATAACACCATGTTGTACACCTGCACTCTCCATTATAACACCATGTTGTACACCTGCACTCTCCATTATAACACCATGTTGTACACCTGCACTCTCCACTATAACACCATGTTGTACACCTGCACTTTCCACTATAACACCATGTTGTACACCTGCACTCTCCACTATAACACCATGTTGTACACCTGCACTCTCCACTATAACACCATGTTGTACACCTGCACTCTTCACTATAACACCATGTTGTACACCTGCACTCTCCATTATAACACCATGTTGTACACCTGCACTCTCCATTATAACACCATGTTGTACACCTGCACTCTCCACTATAACACCATGTTGTACACTCGCACTTTCCACTATAACACCATGTTGTACCATGCATTCACAAACCCAGTGTCACCTGCACTCTCCATTATAACACCATGTTGTACACCTGCACTCTCCATTATAACACCATGTTGTACACCTGCACTCTCCATTATAACACCATGTTGTACACCTGCACTCTCCACTATAACACCATGTTGTACACCTGCACTCTCCACTATAACACCATGTTGTACACCAATAACCCGCACATAAAAGTGACGTGTTAATGATCCAAGTCGGACCGAAATGTCGTCATAAGCTTATATCTCCTATGTGCAGATGATTTGTGTATTGTTCTAGTCACGGTATTGTGCCTTTTTGTTATTTAAGACCATATTGTAACTTACTCTGTATTAGGACTGAAGAAGTCCTGAACTGTACACAAGTAACCATTTACTTACGTTTGTGCTCTATGTACACAAATCTTCTGTTAAAAATATATACCTCTTCTTGCAAGTCTCTTCCTATCAAAGCCACGAGCAATTAAAGGAATACCACAAGAACTTAAAGATGTAATCAATAAACCGCACCACGGGCGTGACTTGAACCCGCAGTTAGCCGTAAAACTCCAGACCGACGCGTTAACCTTGGGTTCAAGCCCCGCCCGTGGTATGGTTTGTTTGCAATCGTGTCAATACCATTTCGTGAGTCATGTAATCAATAAGGTAGTCAAAAGCGTCAATTTTGTCTAAGCAAGGCCACTCAATTCCAGGATATTAATTACACTTAAGTGAAGCTTTGCATCAAGTACTGATTCATATTGAAGGAGATATTCATGCAACACTTGAGTGTATTCAGGAAACGTTTCGCCAGCCAGTGATTTCTTCAGTCTAGTGCAGAGGAATAGTGGAAGATGAGAAGGAGTTCGAGATAATCAGTCCCTGAGCCTGGAGTCGATGTGTTCAGTCTATCAATCTTCATAAAAATGCATCATATACTGCAGACAGATGAGGTGAAGCGGTTTCTAAACTATTTATTCAAGCTTCATACTGAAGTTCGGGAGCTATCTCGAGGAAGGGTGTTGACCCTGTTTTAAGAGTTGCGACGGGATTTTTGTCGGATACAAGTCCGGCCGGGTTTAACCCACTGTTTTACTCAGTAGAGATAAATCATGTTCACTGATTTGGCTATCTGGTCCGGCCGGGTTAAACCCACTTTTTTTTTATCTAAAAGAGAGAAAACAGAATTCAGATAAATGGTTCAGAGAACTGACAGGATAATGAATATAAGACACTTGTGCTGCACCTCACCTGTCAACAGTATAAAAGCTTCTCCACACATGTGCTGTACTCTTATCAAGACTGATGGACTAATCATATAGATTCCAGGCTGAGGGACAGAATGATCTCAAATTCCTTTTGATCTTCAAAAGGAACGCTGTCAACATCCGTTTTCAAAATCTCTTCAAGTGGTTACCAGTAATGATAAACATGACCGGAACATTTGTAGAAGTCTTCAGCAGTGTTTCTGATATCTTCTGGTAAGATGTTGTCGAGTCTGAAGCAACGGATGTTGATACAATATTGATACAATTCTTCTCTGTATCGAACTGAGGAAGCCAATGGTTGGCGAAACGTTTCCACAATAAAGACATTTAAGTGTTGAACAAGTGTCTAAGTCATCAAAAACGAATTCCCCTGAGAATGATATATTTTCGTTTCTATTTATAAAGTGGGCAAGTGGTTTGTGTCAAGCAAGTGGCTGGTACACCGCCACTGTGAACTCTGTTTTGCCGGGCTTAGTCTCAGGATTTAAAATAAACCTCAGAATTACTTTGTGGATCCTTACAGAGTGTTGGACTGACACCTGTGTTAGTGTTAATGGCTTCTCCTGTATGAGCAAGAGTCAGCAACCCATCTAACATGACAGCTGTCACACCGCAGCTCATACACAGCTGGAGAGTAACCAGCCAGGAGAGTATACTACCTTCTTGTTATACGTGTGTGAAACACACACGCGCGCGCGCGCGCACACACACACACACACACACACACACACACACACACACACACACACACACACACACACACACACACACACACACACACACACACACACACCAGGCATTAGGTTGGCAGACAGAAACCATCCACGAGGGCACTACCCTGCTGTCATACGAGTGTGAAAGGGAAGCCTATTAAACATTTTGCACTCTTACAGGATCTCTCGTGCTTTTCCATCCGTCTCAAGAACATGCAAGATGGCAGGTAAATACTACAAATTTCTACATATAGTC